TAAAGACGCTCAAAGATCTAACTTCAGTTCCTTGGCAGCAATTAATTTACTAAAAATATCATTTCTGAGAATAAATATTAATTGATTTTCAAAATCAAGCAATCAGCTCGAGAGTATTATAAACAGGCCTCACAGTACTTTCGAATAAGTTTCCAAGCTGTAATTTTTGAAACGCTTTTAAACCAGCTTGCGGTCAGTTATAAGATAGTATATAATCCCTATCATTGGCATAACTATTTATTTTCAGCTTCATAAATCATCTATTTTCTACGATAGATGTAGCCCTGAAGTAAGCAGTTGTGAGCCACAATCGATCCGTTAAACAAATTTTAAAGGATCTGCTAACGATCGGCTTAGTAGTTTACCTTGAATTTATAAAGATATATGCTTCATTTAAATAAAATTTAAGAAGTTTTTACAAAACTGCCGAATGCGTTTTTTTTTTTTGCTGAGTGCACGAAATGGCCAAGAGACACCAAACTGCGATGCGTCCGTGCCTGCGAATTTGAATGCCGATCCGAATGCAAACACGGACACACTTGAGGCCATGTAATCAACGTTTGCTTACTTCATTTAGCGCGGCAGAAGAAAAGCGAAACATGCATACAATCAGCGCTGAGCGGACAAATGGACGGGCTAGTTGGATGGCCGAATGGCGAATGGCCTCAACGGCTGGCTTACTGAGGGGCTTAAGCAGGCTCTGCGGCAGGCTGAAGACGAGGCTGCGGCTGAGGCCGGAGCTCTAAGCATGGGGACTGCGCTTGTTGGCAATGATGTATTTTTGATTTCGTATCTTATATTACCAACAACACACAAAAGCACCAACAGCAACAGCAACAGTAACAACAACAGCAGCAGCAACAGCAGTAACGACAACGACAACAACAGCAAATGCCAAGTGTGACTCGAGGGGAGTTCGAGGAGTCAGAGCCAACAAAAGTTGATTTCGGAATTTTTATTTTTGATTGTGATGATTGTGCATTGAAATTTGATACATTTTGGGCCTGTTTGGCTGCAGGCTGCTGGCTGTTGTGCTTCGCATATTCTTGTGGTTGTTGCTATTTTGTGCAAAAATGTTCAGGCAGCGATCCCCGTGTGCCTGTGTCCGTGGTAAAGCTACATGGAAACCAGTAACAACAACATTAATAAGATTGGCATCTGTTGCAGTTCAACTGTAATTTTTCATAAGCTGCAAGTGGGCTGTTTTGGGTGCGGACTCTTAAGCCAAGAAGGATGCGTTCTTACAGCCAGCAAGGCTCAAGTTCAATTTGTATAACTTGAAATTGGTGGGTGTTGTTAACATGCGAGTTTGTTGGCTACTTAGTTAGTACGCCAAGATGACTTGATAAGCAAAAGGTATACTTCAATCTACGCTCCTCTACTATGCACTTTATGTATAACTGATTCAAATAGTTGATAACCTTAAGAAGCCTAGTTGTTGCAATATTTTGTCTTAGCAACGCTAAATAAGTTAATTCGTTTGTCAATTACTAAATTATTGCTTAGCTTGGAAATTGCGAAAACATATTTAAATTTGAGACAGTGTTGAAAAAACATTCTTCACAAGTTCAGGGCGAAAAACGTTCATTTAATCTCAAACTTGTTAGTGTGTTCATTTTCTTTATCTTCACTCAAAAGAGGGGTTTTCATGTTTAAAATAATTTTTTAAAAGACAACAGCAGATCCTATTAGCAATAGCTTATTAGAATTGGCTTTTTGTTGGTTGCGTGCTGAATTCTGATATGGAATACATATTTCCGTTGCTGAAATTTAAGTTAAAGTTGTCTACCAGCATATATGCCTGCCTTAATTCAGGCTTCCAATGGAAAATGCGATCACCTAGTTGTAAGCTTAAGATAATTTCTGGAAAAAATATTTTCTATGAGAACTTGTGCTTGAAATGAAGATTGAAAAAGGCACATAGGAGTATATACCATAGCTCCAATTACAAAGAATGTGTTCCACAAATTCTGGAGAAACTCAAATCAAAATCATAAATATTGGTTAGCTTAGACTCCCTTTTCCCGATTCATAAACATGAAACAGAATGCAAGCACTGAGCATAGAACTCTATTGTGGAAGTCCCTACAGCAGCGCTCCAAACACAATGGCTAAGAGATTGGCTTTACCCTCAGCTGATTATGCTAATGTCTCCACCGTCCCGTACCCCCACTCCAAGCGGTTTGCTTAAAAATTGATACCAAAAATACCAAATACGGCATAGGCACAATGCTGGCAGACAATATTTTCAACACAATATGAGCAGGGAAATAAATCAAATTGATTAAATTCGAACAAATACGCCAGAAGTTATATCGCGGGCATTGTGCGCCATAAAGCAATAGAGGAGGAACAAAGGAATACCCAAAACTCGGCGGCGACTTCAGGTTTCACATTTAAATAATAAACAACTCTGAAAAGATCTGTCGCCGAGAAGAGACAACAAAAATTTAAATAAAAAACCGTTCACAAGCCGAACGAACAAAATAGACGAAAAAGTAAACCATTAAAAATTACTACTAATGTGCACCTTACACAAAAGCCTCCCGAAAACTTTTAGAAGACAGCCCGGAGCTGTAGGACGGGGGGAGGGGGGGGGGGGGGGCATGGAGGTGATCGACGCTGTGCGACTGACCTGAGTTCCCAAAAGTCACGACACATCGAGCGTTACAATTCGGCTGAGCTAATGCCTAATAAGTGGTGGACAGAACCACTCTGTGGTGGTGTTGGTGGTGTTGGTGGTGCTCTGCCGACCCACTGCGGCGACAAGCCATTCAAATAAATGAGCATCAATCCATCTTGAAACCTTTTCACTGCCGCCAACGCCAACGCCAATGCCAATGCCAAGCTAGCTACCAACTGCCGGTCCCGGTCCGGCTCTCATAAATTGCGAATAACCCCAGGTGGGGTGAGAAAATGTGGAAGGAACGAGAAAAAAAAGAGAAACTGAAACAGAAACAAAAACTAAAACCACTTAACTTAATGAGCATCAAATATCTGTATCTGTTTTGCTACAAGTCTCGATACAAATCTATTATTTAAGAGCTGCTTTTGTGGCGCTGCACTAACATTTCAATTAATAAACCACCATGTCGAGCCACCCGCCCACTCTCCACTCTGCCATTTACACACGCGTGCGCTCCCACGACGCCCCACATTTGCACAACAACAATAGCAACAACAATGGCAATAGTGACTGCAGCAACAACCATAACAACTACTATACAGTAACTACAACAAGTCGGAACAATAGCTAAGTATAATCACTTTGTTTGCACCTCTGGGAATAGCCAGTGACAGACGCCGCACTCACCTCAGCTAGACTGAGTGGGGACGAAGATGGGCCAAGGTGGGAAGATGGGAACGTGGGAGTGGCAGTGGCAGTGGCATTGGTTGTGGCATCAGTGGGATCAGTTGAACGGACTAACAGTAGCAGAAGCGATGCCGCTGTCTTCGGGCACACGATAATGGCCACAGGACTTGCTTTGCGGCACTCAGCGCAGTTGCATTTATGAAAATGAGCTGCGCCTCGCGCTGCACAGGTCGCAGCAATTTGTAAGCCAGACAATTGACCAAAATGCTGTTCTGCTGCTTATTGCTTGTTACTTATTGTGACTAGGCTGGATTGTTGGCAAAGCTCGGATTTCAGTCAGATTTTTACACCCATTACCCGGAAAGTTATTCACATTCTCCTCCTGGCTATGAATTAAAAGATTCTTCATACCAACAAATTCACTAAAAACATATAATTGCACATTTACATAGCAATTGCGTCTATGTGGGTGTATGAATGTCTATGCGCGTCTATTCGTGTCTGTGTGAACATGTTTGCAGTCAACCAAAACACCAGCATCAGCAACAGCTGCGGGCAGAAATTTCAAAATACACATTTTCTGCGTATGCACATTTTGGTGTCCCTAGGTCTTATAGTCTCCGAGATATAGGCGATTATACGAATGGAAAATCGGGAAAACCCCCATAGGGGGGGAAGTGGGGGGAAAATCAAAAAAATAAAACAAACTCTCCACAAAAACAAAAAATTAAAAAAAAAAATTTTTTAAATTAAATTATTAAAAAAAATGAATGAATGAATTAAATAATTAATGCGTGTATGTATGCAGCACAAAGTTGAACCAAAGCAGCAACAACAACAACAGCTGCGGGCAGCGCTGCCGACAGAGCTGCAGGCAGCGCATGAGCAGCGATTTTACTTATGGCTATAACTTTCTTCAGAATTGACCTATCATGATGAAATTTGGCACACGGACATTAGTACTAACTGGATGTACTCACGATGAGAAGCCGAGTGGATATAGCCTTGTCCGTCCGTCCGTCTGTCTGTCCGTCTGTCTGTCTGTCTGTATGAACGCAAGGATCTCAGAAAGTATAAGAGCTAGAATTACCAAACTTGTTATCTAGATTCTCCTGAGCCCGAGAAAGGACGAGTTTGTTCATTTTTTCTGATCCAACACCCCACTCCCTCCCTATTCACGATTTTCTATAACTCCCGTAATTCTTGAAATTTTAAACTAAACTAACTATTTGGTAGTTACATTAAGTTAGTGATTATATATCCTTATACCATGTTTCATTATGATAGGTTGATTAGAAAGAAAGTTATAGCCATATAACCAGGCCAAGGCACACATACATACATATGTACAAGTACACAAACACGCATAGACACGATTCTGATGTAAATGTATGTATGCATGTATGGAATATTTTATATTTAATTTAGTTAATTAATAAAATTAAATTAATTAATTAATTTACTTTCTTTTTTTGTGGGGTGGTACAGGGTATTTAAGAGTTGAGCCTGCTCGACTTTAGCATTCCTTTCCTGTTTTAAAAATAATAATAATAATAAAATAATAAATAATAAAATAACAATAATAATTTTTTTATATATGCCATAGTGCGCTATGCAAAATAAATCAATTCATTTCTCTACAGTAAAATTTAAAATACACATATATATATATATACTTATCTTTATCAGTATTTAAACAACATTTCATAAACAACTAAATTAAAATGTGTATAATAGTCGATCATTGTTGTTGCACCAGCTGCAATGCCAGTCTACGTTTTGGGTGTATTTTCTATGTCATTTGGTCGATTGTTTGGAGAATATTATCAATGGCGTCAACATTCATACCACAAGAATCGACAGGTAAGTATTCAATCACAAAATATTGCGACATAGCGCTCATTCTAAAATATATTTTATCAATTCAAGATTATAGTACTTCTTCGTCGTCATGGAGAATTATATTAATTCTCGTGAATGTGATTTGTCTGATTGGCCCTATTTGTTTGTTAATTGGACTCTTCAAGGTGAATGCACATTTTTTGGTAAGAGCAGTCATACTAACCGTTTATCAATCTGTGTCCCTCAGGACATCAAAGTACTAGTCGTCGTATCTATAGTAGTTACATATCTGGTTGTGGCATTTCATCTTATAAATTTTCTGGTTGTGCCCATAATTAGTAAGTGCTCGCCCATTTTTAGAGAAATTTGAGCGGAATATTCTGCAATAATATTACAACATTTTCAGTGATTATATCGTCTTCAGAAATTAGTAAAGGTGCAGCTGTGGGTTCGTTTATTTTTATGTTCCTTGCAATATGTTGCCCCTTATGCGGTAAGTACATTTTAAAGGCATACAATGTGAATGTTTTTCATTTGTATTACACTTTTGTTAGCTTTCGAAGTGTATATGGCTATTGTGCAATATTCATATTTAAAAACCGAAATGTAGAGCAGTGGAAGCCATCTTCAGATCCCGATACTATATACCAAACCGTAAGTTAAACAAAAATTTAATTGGGTAAAGGGAGTCAAAGGAACTGTGAGAGCCCACCATTTGCTAAATGTCTACCAAATAAAGGCGGATCAAGGGCACAACATACGGAAAAGTTGCAGACCGTTAAGGACCAAAATGTTGTTTGCAAAACAATACGTCCTTAGTGTTTCTGAGGTAAATGTAGTTTAAAGTTGACAAGTTTATTGTTGGTAGTATTGAGAAAAGAAACCCGCGTACTCCAGGCCAGACCCTACTCCATATGCCGATCTCAAACTGATGACGCTCCCGCCCTTACCCTTCCTAAAATTGTTAGGAAGGTCTACCACAACTGCAGAACCTACTCCAACTGCTCTCCGTTACAAGACGAGTCTCTCTCTCTCTCCATACTAGAGCTATTACGACTACAGATGCGGATTTTATGTTCTGTTCGATTGAGAGCGTCCAATCAATGGTAAGTAGAGACATTTAAGGGGAATTTAATGGGAATCTCTTACATACTACTTTCATACTAAACATTTCTCAGGTTTCCAAAATATATATGGCTATTATGCAATGTTTATAATTAATTGGGAATAAGGCCCTTTTAAAATACACAGTTCGCTGCGTAAGTTCGAAACAAATATCTGGCATGGCCGTCGATATCGGCAGAATACGTTAGTCGGATCCGCTTCCAAAAATAAAGGTGACAAAAGACATAACAGTTGTGAATTGGGCGACGACGACGACCTATGTCGACCAATACAGTGATGGCAATATGGGGCTTCGCAATAACGAAAATACCGAGTGGTAATAAAAGTGAAATTAACAATCAACGAACGCTTTACGGTTGACATTTCACATGACAGGTTAGTAATGCGATTTAGCTGGATAAAGGACAGCCGCAGCCTAACCATCCAACCAACCAAGCCAAGTCAAGCAACAACTACCAAAGCGGATTGTCGCTTTTGTGTATGTTGTGTGTGATGTGCCCACAATATGGCAAAAATAGTGCAACGAAATTCCAAACAGACCTCAACATTGGCAGAAATGCAGTCAAAAAAAAAAAGAAGATAGCCGTTCGTTGAAATGAATTATAAATCTGTTTTGTGTCGATCTTTAAAAAATATTTGGAATAAGATATAGTGTAGAAAAATATTACAATTTTTTATTTCTTACATAAAACTTGTACATAGCCCAAAATGATTAATTTCTTTTATTTTATGACAATCCAAACTTTTATATTGTCAAAATACACTGCAGAGTTATGTCGCTATAATTTGAATTGTGCATAACAAAGAGCGTCCATAGAAATGGATGGCTTTTAAAAGAAGAAGCTCTAGAGGCCAAACTGGCAATATTGTAGTTTTCAGCCATAGTTTTCAAAAGTTCTGATCGACTGGGAATGGCAAATATTAATATGCCTCGATACTCCACAATGCGAAGTGGAGGCAGAAAAACTATTTCCGACGGAAAGTGTAAAGCCTCTTACAATATTTGCTTTGTTCGAAATTCAATTCCTGTTTTGGCAAACTCGTTTTTTTTTAGTGTAAGTAATAGTCGGAGTAGTTGCAACCACTGCCAGCGTTATCGTTGGTGTTGTTACCGGTGTCGATGTCCGTGGCAACCACACGAAATGGTTTTCTGAAGAGAAAGTTAATTAAAATAATGAGTTTTCGTGCAAATGTGACGAGCTGTGCGGCGCTCCGTTTTGTGTTGACGAATGTCTGGCTGTCAAATGGAGTCAGCCTGCTCTTGTTCCGGACAATGACTCCGACTCCGACTCCGGCTGCGACTCCGACTCCGACTGGGTTGCCGGCTTCGTCATGTGTGGGCTCGCATGAGAATAATGTTTAATAAACGTTATAATGCACTTTTAATTAAATACTGAATTCGCTCTGCCACATTTAAATCGACATTTATCGTTTGGCATTTTGCATTTCACATATGCATATTTGCATATTTGCGTGTTTGTTATTTGTGTTTTGTGTTTTGGGGCCCCGCGCCAAACACATGGGAGAGTCATTTTGCAAGTAATAAGCAAATTGATTTAAAATTGTCACCGCTACTGAGTGGGTGGAAATTAGGTTTGTTGTGCTTGTCTGTTATAAAGGAGGAGCAATATTATTGTGTTTATTTACGTACATAGAAGGACTTTTTGGAAACAAACATAGCTCACGCATTAGAGAAGACGATCAAGCCACACATTTCACTCAATAATGGATACGTAATATATTAATTTGTTTGAGGAATCTATACTATTATTAATGTGATTCTGGGAAGCCGTGGCCGCTGAATGTTTGATCATCATTATGCAGCATATTTGGTTCAGTTAATCTCTAATATGATACGATTTTTTGTTTTGGTAAGCATGGACCAGACTCATTTTAACTTAAATATATATTTGCTTATAAAGGTAAATACAAAAATATATGCTGTTTATAGTAACTAAACTAAGCCGTACTATATCGCAAATAAATTAAGCATTAACGATGTTTTATCGATTTCAAACCTCTTCAAATCTAGCAAAAACGATTTATTACATGCTCAAAGGCCTTAGGGACAAATTATAGAGGTTTCACCACATTGTTTTGCGCAAAATGAATGTTAAATGCTGCTGAAAACTGGTTCCGATTTGTTAGGCAATTTTATTAATTTTTATGGCTAACAATCCAAAAAAAAAACGAGTTGTTTTATAGAGTATTTGATAATAGAAAAGGGCTAATAAATTTGGAAGACTAAGTCGAAAAGAATATTTAATGGAACACAATATTAAATTCTTAATTACTTAGATTATTTTATCTTTGTTCTCCAAAACATATTTTGTATAATATTGATAGATACATGTGTAAGTAGATAAGTATGTATTAATACTTAAATTATAGTAAGAATGAGGAATAACAAAAATAAGCTGAAAAATTATCTTTGTCTGCATTTATGCTTATCTTTCTACCCTCCCCAGTTTTGCCAACCATCAGATATCTCTGCAACATTCTCTTTTTCAAAAGAAACAATCATATTTAGCAAACGGTAGCTGGCTTTGTTGCCAAATAGAAGCGGTTTATTTCCTGTTGAATGCTCTGCCTTCGATATCAATTTAATTTATGAACTTACCACTCAAATTACCATGCCATTGCAGTCAAGTGCCGACTTTAGTATAGTTACAGCTAGGAACCATTGGTTAGTCTTGTTTCGTCATCCATTTACATCAGCTCCATATCCTCTACAGCATCGTCGTCTCCAATCTCGGCAATGTGTTCGCAAGTTTATAATATTTGTACCACTGTGCTGACATTTGCAGCTGTCAAAATTGCAATAGAGAGCGCCGTTTGTTGCCAAAACATAAACATGTCAATTGTATTGGGGGAGAGGTAGCGAGAGCACACCGGGAGAGCGAAAGCGCGAGACGGACAGAGAGATTGAATGAGAGAGAGACCGTTAGAGCGTGCGAGCGAGAGCGAGAGCGTACGCGACTACAACTGAAACACTACGAAAGTTTTTCTTTACTCGCGCGCGCCTTTTACACTTCCTTCACTACTTCTAACACTTTTAATGCGTAAATGTTATGCTGGCTGCTTGCCCCCATGGCACCAGGGCGCCCATAGCTAAAGCATCAGCATCACTGGCCTCACCGAACCACCTAACCAGCAAGCACCAAGCCCCACTCCCACCACTCTCCACTACACACGCAGTGGCAACACCAGAGTCTCGGTACGGTCCGCTTCTGGTTGCTATTTTGGTCCAACTGGACTCACGGATGAGCCATACGCCAAGGATTGAGATGCACTGGCAACGTGGCAACGGTTTTGATTTCACTTTGATACTTTGACATGTCGGCACGAGGACCGCCTTGGACCTCGCAGCCCTGGCAGCGGTATTTTCTTTTATTTTATTCTATTTTGTTATCTTTTTCGTTGGCTGAGACACAGACACGGCGACAGCGACAGCATCAATTTCTAATTCGCGACAGCTTCGATTAGCCACGCAGCACACAAAGCACACTATTAGAACACACACGAAAGCTCAAAGCAGCGAAAGTATTTGGTGGATTTTCATGGAAATTGACTTGGCTGTGTTCATATTAAATTAATAATTGATTGTTTTTAGAAAAATTTAGAAAAATAGCTGCGTGCGAGTTTCTTCTTTCTTTTTTTTTTGTGGGCACAACAAAAAAGTTTGCTGACTGCTCACTCGCGCCTGCCTTCCTGCCTGGTTGCCTGGCGCGTCGCGTTGCGTTTTGTCAAAGAGCAGCGCAGCAGCGAGCGACAAAAGCCAAAATCTCGCATCTCACAGTGGACCCCACAAGGACCGAAACCAATGGCTGCGTTGTTGCCGCCAACGTCGCGTTGTCGAACTAAAACAACAACAACACACACGCAGACACACAGACTGGCAAACTCCAGCAGCCACCAAAGCAATTGCAAAACAAGTAAAAAAGCTAAAGTCGGGTGTCCCGACTTTGAAATACTCTGTACATATGTTTACAATAATTATAAAAAATAAAAAAAAAAATAAATAAAAAAAAAATTGGATCGATTTTACCTCTCTCGGTATTCGAACTCACGTAAAGGGTGTATAATTGCACATTTACATAGCAATTGCGTCTGTGTGAGTGTATGTATGCCTATGCGCATCAATTCGTGTCTGTGTAAGCATTTTCGCAGTCAACCAAACAGCAACATCAACAACAGCCGCGGGCAGCGCTTGAGCAGCGCTGCAGCAGCGCTGCAGCAGCAAATATATTTATGGCTATAACTTCTTGGTAAATCGGTCTATCATAGTGAAACTTGGCATACGGACACATAATTACTAACTGGGGGTATTTGCAAAATTTTAGTTCGAAATTCCAAGAATTACGGGAGTTAGAGAAAATCGCATTTGCGGGGGAGAGGGGGGAGGGAGGGAAATTCCAAAATATACATTTTCTGCGTATTCACATAAGGCATCTGGGACTAAAATTTGGTGTGCCTAGGTTTTATAGTCTCCGAGATATAGGCGATTATACGAATTGAAAATCGGGAAAACCCCCATAGGGGGGAAGTGGGGGGGAAAATCAAAAAAATAAAACAAACTCGTATAGAATATACACATAACGCATCTTCGTGCAAAATTTGGTGTCTCTATCTCTTATAGTCTCTGAGATCCAGGTGTTCATACGGACGGACAGACGGACAGACGGACAGACGGACAGACAGACAGACAGGGCTAGATCGACTCGTCTTGTCACGCTGATCAATAATATATATACTTTGTGGGGTCTGCCACGCCTCCTTCTGCCTGTTACATTTTTCAGCTCCCGCAAACCTAATATACTCTTGTACATTTCATGTACAGAGTATAAAAATAAGTAAAATGAGCAGCAAAGCGCACGGGGCAAAATAGTTTTCAACCCGACCAGCCCCTCCCCCTAGTCGGCTCGCTGTCGGTACAATGCGATACTGTGGCGCCCGGCGCTTTGGCGCTCCACCTGCTACCCTCCACCCATAGGACGGCGATGCTCTTCAATTGCTGCTGCTGCCGCTGTTGCTGCTGCGTCTAACAACCGAAAACAATAAAAAGCTCCAAATGGGAGCTTCGGCTGTGCCGACCGTGCAAGTGCGCTACGAATGTACTTGTACGTGTATGTAAGTTTTTGGTTGGACAGGCAAATAATTTGCAACCAAATATGTAATGATCTGAGTGTTGTTTTTAAAGTTCGTTAGAGAGCCTAAGAAATTGGACCTTTGCACATCGCTTAGCTTTTTTATTAGGATTTATTTATTTATTTTATTTTTATTGGATTTATGTATTTGACAATATTTGAGTTTGAGTTTAACTGAAACTAAAAATTAAAAATTAAATATTTGAAATTAAATAATGATTTATAATGGCTTGGGTGAATATCCGCAATATATTGATTTTTTATTTAATTACGGCGTGCTATTAACAATAACAATAACAAATAAAATAAATAAATATTTTTATGCTAATTTGCTATTTTGTCAAGTGAAGTGTATAGTTTGGAAATATGTATGGATTTGTTTTTATTAAACATTCGGATTAGCCATGAACTACCTTCTATATACACAGACATTTGTTATTACTGCAGGCTTTACCGGCGATTGAAATGCCCATTCGAATGCTTTGCAGGGACACACAAAAAATGCCAAAGCACGCGT